GGGATAGGAAAGGTAGCAGATTACAACAGTCACTAATATGCCATTAGGTAAAAATGTGAGTATGTAACAGATGTGATTCTGCTATCTGTATTTGGGGTAGAAATGGGAGTTCAAAACCCAATGGAGTCAAATGTATGAAAGATGATTTATCAAGAGCTCTGTAATGTTTGGAACAATCAATATAAATAAATAAATAAATAAATAATGATAAATTATAAAAAAAAAGATAACATTGTAGTTTTAAAATATCAAACTATATATGGGTATTGAAAAAACTTACAAACAAGATGGTGAAATTTGGTTATATGTCTGTCCCCAAAGAAAAAAGTTAACATTTTAGAATATCCTTTTAGAATTATTTCTTTACATATATGCATTTCTTCTAAGAGCACATTACATATTCTCATTTGTAATCTCCTTTTTATAATATACATGTTAAATTTCTTCCTTGTGTCAGTTAATGTAGAGATATGTCTTTGTTTTTTAGCACATTATTTATGTATATTTAGCCCCCAAATTATTGATGAATACTTAGTTTCTGTTTTTTAATACTTTAGCATTTCTGTGATAAATATCTTTGTGTAATCTTTCTTTTTCCCATAAAGGTAGAACAAATATAATCTTGTTCTACCTTTATGGGAAAAAGAAAGAGTTAGATTTTGCTATTTTTTTTCCAGGATAGCCTTCTAAAATATGTACATTCCTATCAGTAATATTTGAGAATGCCAATTACCTTATATATTTTTTAAAAAAGGGTAGAGCATTTTTCTTCATATTTTTCTGCAAATCTTGAACTCTGTCTCATTATTTTAAATTCTCAATTTTATTTTTAAATAAAGCCCTCCTCTACTCTTCTTACTTAAAAGTGGTTACTCTTTCTATGTGTCTGTCTAGCTATATATAAAACAAAGTGAAAGCACTCATTTGACCCATTCAGTATTCTGTTCCCTAAAGTGTGTAGCATCTTGGCATTTAATTCTGTTTTTTAAATCCAGTGAAATCATCCTTAACATGATTTACAACTTGCATGCCTCTAACAGGTCATGTTACCCTTAATAGACTATGGGTATATTTGGATGTCCATCTACTTAGTGACTTCATGGTATGTCCATTTTGTAGGTATCCCAATACTTTGTACATTCATTAAAGAAAACTTAGGTTGTTTAATTCAGCAATTCCACACTTCAGGAATTTTTCCTGCAAAATTCTTGCACAAAGCACATAAAGATATATTTAATACTCATTTTTAATGACAAATTGAAAATATTTCAGTGTCTATCAAGAAGGAGTTGGTAAAAATATACCATTTCATGAACTGTTATAGTGTTTAAAGTATACTAGATGTACTATTCATATGAAACAATGCTCATGATATATTGTCAAGTAATAAAAAGGTTGCACACAGAGGTATTTAATGCATTGTAGGTAATTTGAGATTTTATAATAAACTGTAAAAATCTGTTCTCTCTAGGAGTGGACCTGACTACTCCTAGAGAGAGGACAGTGGTGAAGAATAGCAAGCTCTCCCTTACACACTGTTTTTCATTGAATTTTATCAGGTGTATATTTTGTAGTAAGCCTTTATTACAGTGAAAAATATATTTAAGTTCTACAAGACACTGAAGAGTAAAATGTTTCAGTGAGACTGCACAATCTCTTGGATTGCTCCTGCTTAGTTGTTTATGAGTTCACAAAAACAGTTAAATATAAAGTAGTATTTCTTATTGATACAAAGTTTTTCATTCACAATGTGGTCGAAGAATGAGAAGAGAAAGTGAATAGCCCTATTGAGGCATAATTTACATTCCATTTTTTTAACATACATTCCATTGTTAAGAATACAGTTCACTGAATTTTAATAAACATACAGCTTATAAAGACATCACTGCAGTCTAGTTCTAGAACATTCCTATCGCTTCAGAAAGTTCCCTCATGCCCAGTTGCATCAGTTTCTGCTCCCACCTCCATCCATGGGCAGTCATTGGTTTGTTCCCTGTAACTATAGAGTTTCCTTTTCTGGGAATCCCAGACAAATGGGTTTGTATCTTCTTTTTGCTTCTTTCTTCTACTGATCTAATAAAAGATCCAATCAGTGTTCATGTGGAAAAACTGGGGGTGGGCCTGTCCCCCTTCTGTTCCTGCCAGCCTTTCTCAGCCTTCAGCTGTGTCCTTCACCTCACACTCCCTTGTCCAGCACTCCTTCAGACACCACCCTGTTTCTCTGGGCCATTTCTGAGCCCGGCTATCCAAGATCTATCCAAGGTTTGACATCATGTATTCTTTCCACTTTCTTCTCTCCTGTGAACTCTCCTGTTTTATTTTTTAACTTTTCAATATGATACTTGATATGAATAAAAGGACATTAAAAGGGACATATAATACATAAAGGTTAAGATTTAAAGCACAGAGAGATTATGACTATTTACACCTGCCATCCAGCCCCTCCACCAGCACTGCACACAGCATAAGGCACAAAACAATGGATTTAATATCTACTCATCTCCACAGTTATTTTTGGTCGTCTTCGATCATTTCTAGTCACTGTAATTCCACATTTAAACCAGAAGTCAGGGTTCAGTTGCCTTTGCAATCCATTCCATTGCTAAAATCCCCTGGTTACTGTTGAGCAATTAGTTTTTTGTTTAGAAAGTATTTCAGAAGATTTATATCTTGCATTGTGGAATACTACTATAATTTATTATGAAACCTTAGCTAAGAGCATGGCATACAATTATAACAACATTTCTGTAGGAAATGTATTCAATTTGTATTTATTACTTAAGGTTTTTCTCTCTAAAATTGCAAAGCTAAAAACTAGACTTCCTCTAATGTGGTGCCCCTCCTTTAAATGTTGGATGAAATCCATTTAATCAAGTCCAGTTGGCCCTAGGGGAAGCGAGGATCTCAATTATTATCTCAGCTTAATACTGCTGACTACTTACATATTTAATTAATGTAATACCTGACACTTGGGGGAACCAATTGATAGTCATCAAAACTGAGGCCTTCATTGTTGTCTTTTTTGCCTTGTGTTTAGAGGATTCTAGTTGCAGCGTAGGCTGGAACAGGGTTGGTCAAGAAGTGGAAAGCACCTCTCTATCACCTCCACATACAGACAGAAAGAGATGAATAGAATATTGGTTAATGATGGATATTTTAAATATTTAATTCTATCCACCAATTTTCTAAACTATGTTTTTATAGAATTTTCATTGCCTTTTTAGAAGTGTGAACATTTTTTTTTTATTCCATTCTGTGTATATTGATATCATTAAAACAGCACTTAAAAGCAGACATTTGTTTTCCTTGGCCCCTCATTTCATTAAAGCATTCTAAGAAATGTGGTGACTTTTTAATGAGTTGCAAGTGGACCCAAAGTGGCTAACATTTGTCTGCTGGAAAAACCACGGGAAGGTGGACTTCCCCTTTGCCTGACAGGCTGAGACGAGAGGATGGGATGCCCCTCAGACCTCTGTGTGTTCCTGTGAAAGACACGTGCCCGCTAAGTGGATTTTGAGTGCTCCCTAAACTATGGAAATTCTTCTATATGGGCAGGTCCTGTGACTTCAACACACATTCATCTGAGTTTTCCTTTAGTCTGAGAATTTCTATTATTAATACTAGACTCTGCTATGAGTAAAATCACATTCTTATTCTATTCCGAAAATGCCTTAAGTTTATAGCTTTGGATTCTGTGAACCTCAATCTAGTTGAACAAAGTCTTTTCATTTTTTCTCCTACCTAAAATTTAAAAGGAACAAAAAAGTGTATCTTCTGTATAATTGGGTGGATGACTCCACAAATGCACTCTAGAGATGAACTTCACAAAAGGGGATGGACTGACTTAGAAGGGCGTGGGGAATGTCTTATAGGTGTGCGTATTCTGAAATACACTTCACTGATTGGTGAGGCTTCGGACTATCAGATCCTCTGACTCTTTTTTTTTTTTTTTCACTTAAGAGTCGAAAAATTTTGCTCCAAACTTCATTCAATAGCAGTTACCTTAAAAAGACCTTCAACTTTTATCTTCTTTTTCAATGATCACAAATTCAGAAAAAACGAGATTCAACTTACTGAGTTTTAATTTTGCATTTGTCTTAAGTACTTTAATCATTGCATTTAGTTTAAAATGATAAGAAAATTTAGTCTGGCTTCTTTATCATAAGGCTTTAGGAGACATTTTAAAAAGATCTTAATGATGGTGGATAAAGGATAAAAAACAATTCTCCCTGAATGGCAGTGTGGTTAAGGTCACTGTTAGTAGTCAAAGATAAAGTGTGGCTTTACTAAACATGGTCATGAAACTGAAATATTTAAGAACTTACTTATGCTTTTTCAGTTTTAAAAGAGAACACAATATTCAATTTTTAAAAAATTAGAGGTCTTACGCTTTCAAGTCTTCAAAGAGAGGCATTTCTTATGATTGTGATGCTTTTGTTTGCATTATGAGAGATGCACCAGTTGTCTATGACTTTGCAAAGTTGGTTATGATTTGTGTAAGAGTTTCTTGTTTCATTTCACAGGTGGGGAGCATTAAGCGGGAAATGGCCTTCACATTTCAATCAGAGGACTTGAAACGTGACTCTAGTAAGAAAATGTCTCATCACTTGTTCCCCTTGGCCATGGAGGAAGATGTGAAAACAGCAGACACCAAAAAAGCCGGTCGGGTCCTTGACCATGAAAAAGAAAACACTCGTTCCATCTGTCTCCTTGAGCAGAAACGGAAAGTCGTTTCTTCTAATATTGATGTCCCTCCAGCAAGGTAAGAATTTTTGCATCTTGTGCGTGTCTGCCCCAGGAGTCTAGTAGAGAGCATGCACAGTCTCGGCCCCGCCTCTCTCCAGGACAGACTTACCTCGGGTTTTCTGTCTGGAGTTTTTTTTCTGTTGCTTCTCTGAAGTGGATCAGGTGGCCCTTGCTCTTCAGAATGGACTTTGAGGCTGCTGTAGTTGAAACTCTATCGCTTTGGAAAAGAATGTTGTTATATTAGATTCTGATAGAATAATGAGCAAAAGAATAAATATAAAAATATATACGTAATGATGAAACATGCAATGTAGGAATAGTAGGACTTAAAAGCGAGGAAAACAGTATCTTTGAGAAAGGAATAAATGATCCTTTTTCTACCTGTTCACTTTTTGTAATTAGAATATTTATTTCTATTTATGTTCAACCAAATGTATCTTCTCTAAGAAATTACCTATGATTCTAAACTGCTACCAAATTTGTCAGACCTCAAAAATTATAGGCCTCTTTGTTTTTATTAACCTTTAATTGATAATTTTCATATTCATTACATCTGTTTAACTAGGTAGAATTATTCACTTTTCTATTTTTTTTCCACATAAAATACATGTTAAATTATTTAATTCCTCTTACCGTGCTTCGTTGTGAAATGCTATCTCACACCCGGAGCCTGTTTGTATCTACTAATTTTGTATCTACTAATTTGTTGATGCATAGGAAAAATGACATGTTGACAATTTGAAATGTGAAGAGCTATGGTTTTGTTTTCTATCTAAGCTATAGGGCAAGGATTAGACTTCCCAGTGTCAGATAGTTTAGTGATAACATGCAATTCTATAGGATTTATTTTATGTAAAATCTTCGATAGACCATTGTATATGTTAAAAGGCCTAGAATTAATCATTTTAAATTGCCATGGATTATTCTAGGTATATCTTGACTCAATTTCACCCACTTAGAGTAACTTCTGGGGAAGATAATAAAAAGAGGAGAAAGGAAATGTGTTCTGCCTTTTCTGAGTGTGGTGTGTGTGATACTTTCTACCTTCTCATGTTCACTGAGTGCATATAAAAGTACAAAAGTAAGCCAGTATTATTGTGTGGTTCTTAAACACTGGGGCAAGATTAATTAGGTTTTTAATCCATTCATGTACAGAAAAAATTCCCCAATAGCAAGCTATAATTTAGATATATAAAGCTATTACAGGAAATGCTAATCAAGAAATTCATTGTTTGAGGTCTCCACTGACAAACTTGTTTTCATGGTTATAGTAAAAATTTAATGATCACAAATATTCCAGCAGTTGGTAAAATAAATTGGTCATGAACAAATCAGAAATTTAGTATAATACAATAAGATAACTCTAAAACTCTTTTCTATTTGTTTAATATGTTATTTAATAAATGGCAACTTACTACTGTCTAAACAAATGATCAGTATTTTGTTTTAAAGAGACTCTTTCATTGGCAGAAAGAAACAATATTTTTTTGTTTATTAAGGTGCAATATAATTATATTTGGTTATGCATAAATAATGGGGTTTGAATAAATCTAAAGTATAGTGAAGTTTATTGGTAATAAGAGATCTACATATCTTTGTCTTATAAAATATATAATAAGTAGGTACATATGCATGCAATCTATATGTGTATGATAATCTATATGATTATTGCAACTTACTCTCCTAAACTCAGACATTATGTTTGGGTCCATTCTCAGAGGCAGGATAACCATTTTAGATCAAATATCATTGATATGAAATCCAGTTTAAATGTCAGGTTCCTGTAATGTTTCTCATTTTACATTTTTCTCATCCCCACTGTACCTGAGAGTTGAACTTTACTTTCTATGGTTTGTAAAATGAAGCTTGAAGTTATTTTCTATAGTTTGTACAATGAAAACAACAAGGATATTTTATTTGCTTTTCCGCATCCTCAGAGAGGCCTGAGAGCCCCTACCTGTACTCCTCTTACACACTGCTGGTTGGAACATCACTGATCTCTCCTGCTTCTGCTCAGCAGACGTTTATTGAGCACCTGTTATGAGTGAACCTGGTACTTGGTAAAAGAAATAAAAAATAAAAAAGCAAATAGGAGAGGGTGCCCACCCTCTAAGAGCTTGTAGTCAAATCAGAGGGACAGATACATAATAGCTAGTTTCAAGTAACATTCCTAATTTGCTCACTCCTCATTAGAACTAAACAAATTAGTAATTAAAGGAGCATGCTTAATATTAAGAAAGACTTAATTTGATACATCTGTTTAGAAGCCTAATTTATTCATGTCTTCATCAAATAGGAATGGGGTGGAGAAGGAAGAACTCTGCATTTGAGGTCTGTTTTATAAAATCCATGTTTGGTTACCCATTGCTGAGGACCTGTTTAAAAGTTGCTAGTTTCAAGAAATATAAATTTAAGTAAATAAGTTATGAATCCAGATTTTAGGCAGGGTCATCAGAGAAGCAAATGCCAAGACAGGATTAACATACAAGCACTTCTTTTCCTGGGAGAATCAGGAGTGGAGAAAAGAGAAAAAGAGTGAAGAAAAAAGGGGGTGGAGTTGGGGGAAGAGGATTGGAGGGAGATCAGAAGTCAGACCTGAATGCAAGTCTGAACCCAGAGAAGGGAGAACAGGATGGATGGAGGTGTTCTAGGCAGCCTCACAGGGAGACCTGCATTAATGTCCTTGCTGTGATCTGTTATTGGTTGGGAGAACCTATAGCATTTTGACCTGGGCACAGATGCAGCCCAGCAGCTGGACCCTTAATCAGTCAGCTCCTTGTTGTTCAAGACTTTCCTTGCCTCTAGATATTGTTCCTGAAAGTGCCCTAGGCAATATGCCCTGGAGGCAGAAGCCAGCTCTTTGGAAGCTCAGGGTCTATAAGTACAGACCATCTGGAATCTTCACTTTTTAATAGGACCCCAAACTTCCTGTGAAGCATAGTAAGTGATTATTGGCCCAAGGATTTCATGATTAATTCCTTTTTTTAACATTTATTTTTTAATTGTAATTGAACACATTCTTTAAGTCATGAAAGAACACAAACTGTCTCTCCCTTGTGAGTTGCCTAGGCTTGGTAAGGGACAAATCGTAAGGTCTGAGAATTCACTTACCCTTGGAGTTGATGTGTGTTGCCAGTTCATTTCAGGAAGAGACAGTGCTTTCTTTTGGGGGTGGTGGAAGGGGGGGCGGTTGGGTGGGGCAAATACACTGTAGAGTTGAGGTACTCAAAATATTTCTCAAATTATCCCACACACATCAGAGGATAAAACAGAGAAAGGGCATATGGACGTAGACATGTCCAAGCAGTGTTTCTCTTTGGAAATTAAGATCGATCATTAACAGAAAATTTTTCCCACCTTTCAGGAATATTTGGGAGCAGTAATTTAAATTGAGGGCAACATATACTAAACATATCGATACCAACAGTAGGGACAACAGTCTCTTAAGTCTCTAAAGGACTGATCTGTCTTTAAGTTTTTATAACATTGATTCAGGAAGATTGTGAATTGAGAATAAGGAATTAACTAATTATAAACAGGTAGTATATTTTAAGTCTCTCTAGGGAAAAATATAAGCTCCATTGATCCTTATGGAGAGTTAAGAAAAATAGGCTTTAAGAATATAAAAGCAGGAATTTAAAAACTACACATTAAAGATTCATCCACATTGTAGCATCGAATACTTCATCTTTTATTTCCAAGTAATATTCCATTCCATGGATATAGCACATTGTATTTATCCATCCATCAGGTGATGGACACTTGAGGTTTGAAAATTAGGCAAGAGACAGATCATGTTGAGTCATGTGGATTGTGTTTAAAATTTTTTAATTATATTATTAAGTCAACAGGAAGGATTTTGTGGAGGAGAATGATGTGATTCCTTCATATTGATAGAAGGTCACTCCTGCTGTCATGGAAAGAATGGGTTGGAGGAGACAAGAATGGACATAGAAGGCTCCCTCAGGAGGCCACTGCATTAGTGCAAAAAGGCTATCATGGGAGTTTGGACTGGAGTGGGGATAGTTGAGATGGAGAGAAGTGGACAGATCTGAGATACATTTTAGAAGTACTAGTGAGGTTTGTTGGTTGTGAGAAATAGAAAATGACCCTAGCTGATTTCACAAAGGATAGGATTTTTTGTTTGTTTTGTTTTCAAAGATTGTGAGATCCCAGCATTGCTTGGAAGGCTGGAGAACCAGGTCAGGGCAGAGACAAGAGGGTGGGCACCTGCACTTGGGTTTTCTGGCTTCTAAAATGAGAAACGTGTGTAGGAAATTCTCCAAACCCAGGAAACAAGTTCAGCCATTAGGCATGGAAAAAATTGACAAATAACTATTTAGATATCACAATTTCCATTTTATAACAGAGACAGACTCAGGGATGTTAAGTGACTCACCCAGGAGCACCCACTGCACACATAAGTAAGATTGTGACCCCAAATGAATTCTCATTCCTCATCACCTCCATTAGTATCTAATAAGAGAATATTAATTTGTTGTCATTTTCAACTATGATGCTTTAAAATAGACTGATACTTTTAATATCCTCTAATATCACTAGCTCTCTAGCTTCTAAAAAATTTCAACAGTTAGGCAAACATTAGATATGCTGGATCATTAACGCATGACATTTGTTACTCCATTTTTGCCAGATATTGTTTTTTTGGAGGTACTAATGCTTAAATTCATTGGATTTCACCCAAACAGAAATTACAATTTGATTATGCAAAGCAATAACTGCCTTCTAATTATAATTCTAAAACTAAAGAAATCCATTAGCAAACCAGTTTTAACAAGGGATAAAGAAAAATTTGGCCAAAAATATTCCTAGACCTAATAGCAGTTTGTTAGAATACTACAGATTGTTAGTTTGCTGTTGGAAGAAAACAAACCATATGGTATTGTTTGTTTTGCAGGGTTTTAAAATATAGTGATGTCATATTTATCACTTGCTGGATAGAATGAAATCATTCTCTCCTTATCAGTGGCCATTCTGGAAATCATATAGTTCAAA